TAGTTGATTGGCACTGGAAATTAAATAATCATCCATATGGAGTAAAGTAGCAGAGTGATTTGAATGCAATGCATCCTGTAGGACAAGTGCTCCTTGAGTCATAGGCAATGTGTTATGATTTTAGTGCAAAGGTTGCTGTTTGGCTTAATAATTCCATTATACCATTTGCACTGTCCATTTTCACATTCAATGACATGAATGAAGAAACACTGTCTGAATGCATGAATGTGATGATGTCAAAGATAGCAAATAACTCACAGAAGCATTGAGTCGCTTTTCAAGATGTCATAAGTGATTAAATGAACAGAAAGCAAGAGAACACATCTATTATAATAACTAAATATTGGTTAGTTGAAGCTGATAGCAAAAAGCCTTTACAATCAGCATAACTGGTACAGTTGTTTTGATCAGGTCAGTAAAACTGGTTTGAATTCAGTACTAATACAACACAGTTAAAACTCTTTTTACATCCTTAAGAGAGAACAGGAGATTCCTTGTTTGAACAAAGTATAGCATTTGATAACGTCTAGATGACGACAACAGTTATACTATTTAGCTAAAACATCTGAATCAACAACAGAACTGCATTCCCTGGTCAAAGCATATACAATAATATTATGCTTCTCAAGGTAGCAATTTGTTGAAGCTGTATCAAGTAAGCTTAATCTTTCATCTTTCAATTTTATTTTTAGTTTTACTTGTCTATTTAGAATAATATAATCAATGTCACAGATTTCTGATCAATAAGTAAAGTGGCATCCAGTTAATTAGTGTTTCCACTTCTTCAGAGTCTACTCTGTGGTATATGGCACTTTTTTTTATTGATGAGTTTTTGCTTACTATAATTTAATGCAGGACTCTAGATTAAGGTTTTTCTGGAGATGATAGAATATTTGAAATAATTGGTGAGGTTTTTGGAGGCAATACCAAAAGCAAAGAAAAGTTTTACTATTATATTTATTCTAAAAGGAACTAATTTCTTAAAATAAAAATACATACTTTTTACCAATAGTGACAGGTTTTTAATAAATGTGGTACATGGAGGAGTTAAAATTCATGGCAAAAAAATCAGGGGTTACACTATACATAAAGTTGGCATGGTAACTTGATTTTTTAATTAAAATAAAATTTTTTTTTATTTTTTTAAACTTTAACATTTCTTCTATTTTAATTTATTTTGTAAACCTTTTCTAATACTAACAACTATAAATGATAACAAAGTTAATAAAACAGATTTTGATTTTGGGATTGTTTAAAAAGGATAATTAAAATTGTTTTTCAGATTTTTTTCAGGACACTAGTGAAAAAAAGTGAGGCTGAATTGAAAGCCACCAATCTACCAGCTTGATTTAAGGTGATCAGAAAAAAAATTGATAAAGTCTCATCAATAGTATTAACGACAGTATTCTTTGTCTTACATTTCAAGCCTTCAAATGTCTCTTTGGAGAGCAGAGTTCAAATTCTCATTGGGTTTGTTATATTCACTTACATGCAAATACACTTGGGAAAGGTATGAATCCACCTCTTCTTCCCACAACTATGGGTTAATTAGACTTGTATCACTAAATCATTATCTCCAAAAAATATTCTTACAGTCTAAAAATATTTTCTGGCTTTAAATAACCTGCAAAAGGTTGATAAGCTATAAAAAAACAAATCCATCTTGTGTAGTAGAAATGTTTTTAGCTTGTATAAGAAGAGTAATCTTTTTAGTAATTGGCAATCCAATATGAATAGTATGAAAATATACTTATTTCAGATTGAGGAAGATCTTTTACTGGTCGAAGCCTTTCCGGATCAAGTCCAATTTTATCCTCAAAAATAGCATAATTCAGTGGTCCACAGGATTTGCAGAGAATGTGTACTGATTATTGTAGGCTAAGTTAAAGCTTTTTGTAACCTCAGTACATCTGAAGTCAATGTCATGTTCTTTTTTAGTTTTCCTACAACTATTGCTAGGCAGATAGAGGAGTAGATAGGTTTGTCTCCCATCCAGTTTATACTCCTCCCCAGTCTTTTGAACAATAGTATTGGTTTATCCTTTGTTTCCTGTTTAAGATTGGGTTCCTTCTAAAGTCTACTTCTGTACTGTACTTATAATGTCTCCAACTGAACTCTGAAATTTTATTCACTAATTCTTGACATCTTCAAGTCTAGAATTAGCTGTTATCTTTTTTGTATAACTACAAGAACTTTATTTTTTGCCCTTTCTTTCACTAATACAACTCCATTCAGTAACATTCTAATTTGAGTGGTTGTTGGGCCTTGTATTGGGTGAACATTAGTTAAAAAAAATGTTAGTTGTACTAAAGAATTTATATTGTATCATAGTTTGTCAGTTTATCAATCCTTGGTAGGGAGTAAGCATCTAACCTGAAACAGTTCATAACCTGTGAGTAATCAACTATCACTCTTTCTTTGTCATTCATTAGTGTTTATGACAATTTTCCAAGAGGAAATTTTTTTTTTCTTTTTTTTTTTTATAAATATTTTCATGGTGATTGTTCTGATAAGCTTTTTGAATTTAAGTATACTATTAGATTGGTGGTGAAGTCTCATCTTAGAGTTGAAGTGGCTAGTTCTATGCTAACAGTTTCTTCTCTCACTTCTCACTTATGGAACTCTTTTAGCTTCTTGATTTGCAATCAATTTTGATCTTCAAAAATTTAAATGCAATGCCAGTATTCATCTCCTGTTTCATTAATTCTTGTTCTTTTATTGTCCTCTTTTCTTAATATTTTTTATCAGATTCTTTCACTCAGTAACCCATTACATCTTAGTGGCTTTATCATCTTACTTAGGATGAAATGATTAAAAAAATTGCTTGGCTCAATTATCTGTTCTGCAAGTAGCCTCTTCACTTCAGTTGCAATAAAGTGTTTTCTGGGTAAATATATTTCCTTGATTTATTAGATACAGGGCTACAATCATTGGGAAGATTAGCAAAATGTCCAAAATGATATACAATCCCCACAGAAGCCAGAGAAGCAATCATCCATATTTGTACTGACCAGGTTCTACGTTATTTAACTTTGGTGATTGTATGGGAACCTGTGTTCCAAAGTGATGTGGCCATACGCCAAAATCCAGATAGAAGTTTTTAAGATTTCTGTAGTAGCTGCCATCACAGCAAGAGTGGGGAAACTGAAGTACAAACCTCATCTATTATGTGTAGTTTCCCATGATGTACATATCCAGTGAAGGTGCCTATTGTTCCCACAAAAGAAACATTTTTATCCTTTAGAGAGACTGTAGCAATTTTTTTTTTTTTTTTTTTTTTTTTAGGCAATCTGCCATGACTTGTACATGTTTCTGCATTATCACTGCATTATCACTGGAAGGAACTGCAGCTGGGCTCAATTTTTTTTTGTAATGTGGTGTATGAATCTAACCTTTTTTTTTTTTTTTTTTTTTTTTTAAGCCTATTCCAATGCACTTGTTTGATGAAAGCACCTTTAGATATTCATCCAAGATCTTTCTTTACTATTGCTAATGGGTGGCTAATAAATATTTTGTATATGCCTTATATTTTTGCATTTTGCATACAAGTTTTGCAAAATACATACCACATAAGTTTTATACTCAGAAATATACTTATATATGGAAGGAGTAATCTACAAAGGAAGTTGGTAGGTTTTGGGCTTTGACCCACTTCCCAAAATCTGACCAAATTGTTAAACATAATTTTTTTTCCTCTCTATTCTGTGAGAGGACTCCGGCCTTCCTCAAATCTTGGGGAGTAATATGCCTTATCACACCATGTTGACCTATGTTAGCAGGGGGTTCAATTCAGTTACCTTTCTACTATATTGCTTGCCCATTCATATCTAAAAAGTTCAGTCTACTCTGCTATTTAACTCATAGTGAAGTGAAGAAGAAATGATTTCATGCCCTTCTCAAGAGCATTAGTGTGAAGTCAACAACCATGGTCTTTTTATTGTTTAATGCTTAACCTATATAATTCATGTTCTCAAATGAATTATGTTGTAAAATATTTATATGATGAATTTATTGATATACCTGTATAAGTGTCTATTTTTTAAGATCTATTCTTAGTTAATTCTTATTGAAATGCCACAGTAGTCTTTGTTTTCCTTTTTTTCCATAGTCATGGTATCTTATGTTTATGCTTTTATGAAAACTAAATAGATAATGATTTTTTCATGAGTGGGCAGTCATTAGCTTTATAAGAAATATAATATAAATAACCTATAATAGAAATAAATTTATGCTTCAGTTGGTAATATATTGATAAATATCATTTTCTTTCTCACTAATGTGACTAAGCATTAAATTGAATTCTAGAATTGTTTGTTAGTGAACGAAAAAAAAAAGATCATTTTGCTATTGAGTTTCATTTTAATAGAAAGAGTGCATATAATAAAATAAATCTTACTATAGTTTCAGTGAAATTCTGGAATAAATATCTTTTGAGAATTGCACAAAAGAAACTGAATTTATTGGTTACTATTATTAATTTGTTTGGTGTCTTTGATGGGAAATGAAAATAGAGCATAAAATATTACTTTCTGTAAGGTGATGTATGTCTTATTTACATTTGAAATAATATCTTTGTCTTTATTATTAACACAGATAAGGACATTAGTTTGAATGTAAATAAGACATGTATAACATTAGAGAAAAAGTATGTTTTGGATGTTGTGCCTTTTGGTCTTCTTCAAGCGTCTTCCAATTTGGATAACCTTTATGGAATTTCTTTATTAAATTTCTTTGAATTTCTTTATTTGAACTCTTTATTTAATCTATGGGATAGATTGTTCTTCCTCTGCTGTTTATATCATGTCTTGTTCTTGTTGGTACACTGTGTTGTTCTAGACAATTTTTTTCTCTCCAGAATCTCTCTAACGTATCTATAAATCTACCATTCACCCATGCTTAGAATATTGCTGCCACATATGGTCCGGCACTGTCTTTCCTTATTTTGTGCAATATTTTGTTCTGCTAGTTTTCAAAATGGATAAAGGCTTACAGCCACATTACATTAAAACACTGGTTCTTGTATGATCACTAAAGTTAAGCAATGTCAAGCCTTGTCAGTACCTAGATGGGTGACCGCTTAGGAATACCTGGTGCTGTAAGCTTGGATATGTGGGTGATGTGTTATGGTCCGGTTCCTTGTATCACGGTGATAGTCCAAGGTAGAACCAATAAAGAATAATGCGAACACAGGTATGGAATAACACAGATATATTACAAACAGGAATATGTACAGAGAAGTAGAAGTGTTAGTATGAATAATCAGGTTTAGTAGAGAGAACAATGTAGTCTTGACCAGTACCACTATTCCAATGTCTTGCAGTAATTGTCTGAATGCGACTCTGTTTTGGACTGCCTCTGACTCGACTCTTGACTCGACTTGAACTACTGACTGACAATATTCAGTCTCCCCCCCACTGGGGCAACATGTGACACAAGGTCAGTTGTTTATTGTGGGTTTCCCTAGCCTGTGGGCTCGGCCAAAAAATATTTGTTTGAACCCGTATAAACGGGTTCAGGGTCAAATTTTCCTCCCGAAGGAGACTCCAATTGAGAAGGTTCCTTCGGGTTCCTCCAAAAGAGAGACAGTTGAACTGAACAGTCTGTAGTGAACGACTGACTGATTCCTTGCCTACTCCCGAGGCGCAGTATTTATTATGTATGGAATAGTTCATTATTATTATTATGGGTAAGATCCCATAACATGATGGATAATGGCTTGGAATTGTTTATCAGAGAGGTGAGTTCCAATTCCTATTGTGTTCATTATATTCACTTATGCACAAATACCCTTTGGGAAGGTATGAATATACATCTTCTCCACATAGCTATGGGTTAATTAGTAAGACTTTTTATCACTAAACTATTGTTATCTCCCCCCACACACACCAATTCTTACAATCTAAACATATTTCCTGGTATTAAATAACCTGCGGAAAATGAATCAACTAAAATCATATGAACGATCAATTTATATAAAAATTGGAATGTATATTTTTCTAATTCAGGAACAATTCTTTGGATTTGAATCAAACTTGACAGCTTTTTTTCTTTTTTTTCTCTGACAGATTGATACTGATATGTTAAAGATGTGTTCTTTTTCTTAGTCAAAAAAGAAACTATTAATTTTGATCATCTTAATCATAGTTTAAGACTCTAAACCAGACAAACAAAATTATTTTGTGAATAATTTTATGCATCTTGAAACCTTTTTTGTGTCAGAATATTGAGATGAGGAATTATTATACATCTTGCTATTTGGACTAGTGTGCTTGTCTTAATTGTTATACTGACAACATTTTGTCTATTGTACTCTCTGGCCTTTTCCAGATGTCTGTCATCATACTTGTTAATCTTTTTGGAATTTTGAACTGATTCCTTTATTCAATCCACAGGTGTAGACTGTTCTCCTGCTTTCTATGCTTAAGTGGCATTTTGTATCAGTTAACACTCACCAGTTTTATTCATATTGATATTACATAGAAGTTCAGTACTCTTTTCTTTGTTTCTAACAAAATTTTCCTGTTCCTTAATTGAATCTCTCATGAACAAGTCAAGATAGTGAACATACAACATATGCAATGAGCCTGCATCATGATTGAAACAGTTGTGTATTTGAGTGCAGGTCAAACGCCAAGATTTCCAATGTTAGTAGTTTATATGCATCCTTATTTAGAAGCATAATCATCCTACCCATTTCCAAATGTTTAGCTCTACTAAACTAAGCTTAATAAATACTGAGTATATATGAGTACACTGAAAGTAATATTAACAACCATGTTGGCAAAGCTTGAGCTGCAATACAGACAGGCTGTCAGTAGTTTGGAAATTTGCTCTATCAGATTAAATGAAACAAAATTTCTTCCAAGACATAGCCATATCTATCATGTTCTATGATGTGTGTAGGTATTAATAAAATGAATAAAAAAACTAGATGGTATGTATAGAAGGATGCTGTCTTCCTATGAATCTATCCTGGAAATAGTCATGTGCCATGCGTGATACATGCTTAGGTGATCATGTATCGAAAGATACATGACTGAAGGCAGATTTTTTGTTTTGCAGTAGGTTGCCATTTCTTTCTGCGGTAGTCCAGTTGCCATCCAAGGTTATAGAACCTGGTCTCTCCTGCTATTTACTCATAGCTGGGGGGGGGGACAAGATGAGGATTCTACATTTTTCCAAAAAGATATTTAAATATATGATGTAATGGATTTGACTGGAATTCAAACTCTGCTCTCGAATCCATTACATTCACTTACGTGCTAATACCCTTGGGAAATAGTACCTTACAAAAAAGCAGCTCTTTTGAGACCATTAGTTAGCAAAGAGGTATGAAAGAGAGAGAAGCAATATCAACTAGTATTACCTGGAATTTATTGTACAAAAGTGATCTGCTTTGTCTTCACTCAGGTTCATGTTATCAAGGCATCTACTGGGTTAGGTGTGAAATGTAGTAGAGGGTGGTCAGATTTTCTTTGCATCAAAGATGGAATTGAAACAAAAGAACCCAGTGACAGAGATTCTCCTGGCCACAGTTAACAAGTGCTTGAGTCCCCAAATGGAGGTTCTTATATTAGGTTTTTAGACAAAGCTCTAACTTTTATGAAGTCTTCTGGTTATGATCTTAATTCTGGAATTTCATCATTAGATTGGAACCTTTTGTTTAGTTTAACTCCCTTATGGACTGATTTCCAGTTCTCAATCAGACCCAATTATGCAGATGGCTCAAATGAACCTTTCTATTCCCAAATCACTTCTGCTGTCTCTAAAATACTATTCTTATTGTCATATTTGTGAATAAATTCATGGGGTGATCATTCAGTAACCCTATTAATGTTACCCACTTGTATGCATATACTGTACCCAGATCAAAATCTGCATACTCCTTCAGAGTGTTGTGCTGTGTGTGTGTGTGTGTATATATACTTTTTCACTTAGTGAATTGATGTTATATTCAGTACCCCAACTCTAGAGTTTCATGGATGAACCTTTGGATAAACATTTGACCCATGTGTCAGGAGGTATCAGCAATTGTCTGCTGTTTTTCTTTATTTTTATATACAGTAAAAAAAAAAATAATTTATGCACTGTATATTGGTATTAAGTGGATTTTTTTTGTGTGTGTGCACATGTAGAATGTATCTATGTATGTATGTATGTATAATTTCAGATATAACTAGAAGCAATTGTAAAAAGACTGGATAATAAAGAGAAAAGATTTTCCTTTTGACTTTATTATTCATATATATAGATAATATTAGTGGTTTATATATATATATATATATAATTCCCAAGAGGATAGAATCCAAGCAGAACTCGGTGTCCAGGTCAGAGTAAGAATATAATATAAAAGGCTCAAACACTAATATTCCATGGTTATAATTTATTACATTGGAATCGTAATCACGATCCAATTCATCAGACCTGCAAATTCCAAAAGCTTTTTGAATTTGTAGGTCCGATGAATTGGATCATGAATACAATTTCAATGTAATAAATTATAACCATGGAATATTAGTGTTTGAGCCTTTTATATTATATATATCAAGAACAATTTTGGGGGAAAGATTTATTTCAAAGTGGAAAAAGGTTTCATGTAACGTGACATCACATGATATGGCAAAATGCATCATAAGAAAACATTTGCCACTTTTTCATTATATATATATATATATATATATGAAACATTATTATAGTGGGTATTTCATATTTGAAATAGATGCCCTATTTTTTATCTATTAAACAGTCTATATCAGCCTGTCCATCCTAAAATCAGAGTAAAGAAAATGTGTTTCCCAACAGGGACTGAATTTGCATCAATCTGTCACAAAGAATGCATTGGTCTGTGTGTGTTTGCCTAGCATTTTCCTACATTACTAGAATAGACCATTATATAGACATGAGCATTTCCCCCACTTCTATGTATTGGACTCTTCTAATGATGTATTAGGAATTTTTTTTTTCTTATTTTAACATTTATAAATAAGATGCCATAATTTATGTCTTAAATTATTTTTATCTCCCTGACTCTCTTTAGATCTCAGGATAGTAATTTTGTAATTGCATTTTACTTATAAATACTTAAATATTGCCATTGTTTATTTATTATTATTATTTTATTTTATTTTTTTTTTTGATAGCACAGGTAGACTAATCTTTTAATAAGAATGCATTAATGTCAAAAAAATCTGCAGTGTTAATCCTTCACTTTCAGTTGTGATGAATATTTAAAGAGTAGGTTTTGTCTATGGAATATTAGAAAATATTAGAAAAAAAACAGCAAGAAAATAGTGGTCTGTTATCTTTGTGCAATAAAAATAATAAACCATTTATGCAGATGGCATGGTTCTTTTGGTGTAGGAATTATGTTTTCAGGTTTAATATGCTGATAAACCTATAGGCCTGAGCTTTAAAGAGCAGATGATCAAAATGTGTCTTATAAACTCATCAGTTGTGTTTTTGTTGCCCATCCATCTGCAAAACTGTATATAACACATTTACCAGAAGGTAAATTATTACTTTCATCTTATTTTCAGTTACTTTATATTATTAGATCATTTGCAAATGTTTCTGTTCCATTAGAAAATTAAAAACAAAATTTTACATACTCACAAAAAGTCATTTATTAGTCAAGTACATAGTCTCCATTGTTTTTAACAACTGTTTCCCATCATTCTACAAGTTTGTTGATACCATTTTCATAGAAACATCATGTTTTTTGTTATAAGAAGGTTGTGAAGTCGTTTTAACTGACTATAAAGAATCAAATTTTTTGTCATTTAAATAGTTCTGTAGAGACTGGAACAAATGAAAAGCCAAAGGAGCCATGTCAGGGAAATATAGCGAGTGCTGGAGTGTTTCCTATTTCAACTCTTTATTCTTCTGCAAGGTTTGTTGTGCAGTCTTGCATTGTCAGGGTGGAAAATGACACTTTTTTGATTTTGGTTTTTTGATTTGCCAAAATTGTCCACTTTTCTGAGACCTAAATCTCTTCAAATGGCAAAAGGCAGTTGAGATATTTATTTTCAAACTCTTAGCAATCTCTTCTGTTGAAATCTTTGGTTTATTCTTCATGATAGCAAATAGAGCATCTTCATCGA